CCTGCGAATCTTCCTCCTCCAGCAGGGCAATAGGACCTGACAAGACCGTTTTCCTCCACCTCGATCCTCTCAACCGGCCTGTTCAACAGCACCCGCCCTCCTCGCGCCTCGATGTACTCGACAAGAGGCTTGCAGAGCCGCTCAGGAGGAGCTGAGAAGAAGTTAGCTCCCGTGTCTACCGCCTCTCCCTTCTGACTCTCCCTTTCTTCAGGCGAATCCCCATGGTCCTCAGATCGTTCGCGCTCTTTCCACGATCACTCTCCCTCTTCCACAGCCAATCTCTCCCCTCCCCCCCCGCCCCACGATCTCCGCCCCCCGCCCTCCGCTCCCCTCACTCCTCCTCCTCTCCCCTTCCCTGCCCCCTCTCCTCCGCTACCTCCATCGAGGAAGGCAATCTTCGACCCATCGCCCTCCTGCAGGAAGCGGTTGAGGGCCGTAAGCACGACCGTTGCCGACACTTTGTCGGGGTCGACGAACGCGAGGGCCTTGGCCATGGCGATGAAGATCTCCTGCTCGATCGAGGGCGGCGCTCCTCTCCTCTTCAGCCACTCGCTGATGGACAGGTTGTCCATCTGCCGTGCACTCAGGGAGGTGCTGCAGGAAGAAGGGAGGAGGACGAAGTGGGAGTGGAAGGAGCTGGTGAGGAAGGACAGGGAGGAGATCGCAGGACTCAAGAGAAGAATCGGGTGAGATAGATGGAGGAGAGGAGCAGAGGTGGAGAGAGACGAGGAGATGGAGCAGAGGAAGAGCAGGGAGGGTCAGGAAGAGGGTGGGGGGGGGGGGGTTGGGGAGGGGGCAGGAGAAACGGAAGGGAGAAGGAGGGAACCTCCTCGACGTAGTCCTGACCCTTGAGGATGGCGGGGATGAGGGCGATGCCGAACTTGAGCTTGTCGGGGAGAGAGATCATCTCGCTGTTGCTCAGGATGGCAACGAGGCCGTTGAAGGGGCCGGGCAGGTTGGGGAAGTCGAAACGGGAAAACCTCCCAGCCTGCGGCATGGCGAAAATCATGGCGTGTTTCTTCCACTGCAGCCGCTCGCGGATGCCGAGCTCTTGGAACAGCTGCAGCATGTTGGGGTACGCGCCAAAGAAGATGTGGAGACCTGTCTCGTACCAGTCTCCCTCGTCGTCCTGCCATGCCGCCACCTTCCCTCCCAACACGTTTCGCTCCTCAAGTACAGTCGGCGTGTATCCTCGATCGCAAAGCTCCTTCGCTGCTGTCAGGCCAGCAAGACCTGCTCCTGCTATGATGACGCTTCCTCTGCTCCCCTCCTTGCGCGTCGCCATCTCCACCATGACTTCTCCTGCCTGCATGCATACTGAGGGTCTCTGCGTTCCTCGCTTGCAGGAGGCTTGTGCCCGAACACCAAGCCGGCAGAGGCGCGACTGCAGAACAAAGCCATGGCATTGCACGAAGAGGAAGAAGCAGATCAAGGGCGTCAGAAGGAAACTGCGGGGCATCTGAGAGGTATCAATCAGTGAGGTATTCATTATGCAGAACAGAAGGAGCAAGAGATCAGTCTAGTCTGCTCCTTGCTCAACCATGTGACAGAATGTACCAAATCCTGATCTCCTGAAAGTTGTCGTTCGATCCTTCCCCTCCCCTCCCTTTCCCCATCCTCCGCATCCTCAATGCACCACTGCCATGCCGGCCCCCGACTCCTATTACTTTACTTAACCCGCCTCAGAGTGATGATATATATTTTGTAAAGACAGCAGGTGATTTATTGAAACCACTCAGCGACTATTGGGGGCAGAGAATCACGAACGAAGTCCTTGAGACTCAGTCTACTCCACTGAAGGTGCTATGTGATGAAGTATCACTGACCGTCAATGCCGGGCCCGGCGGCCGCCGCGGGCCCAGTACCGTCCGGTACAGGACTCCGGGATCCGATCGGACCAAGCAACTTCGGCGGAAAACTTGCCAGTTCAGCCTGCCGCGGCGAAAGTCAATCGACGTTTCCGTGGCAGCTCCCTGGCACAACTCGGCGGCCCGTTATTCCTCCTCTTCTGAACTCCGAGCTCGACCCGGCGAGCCTGACTTCTTTGGCGTGTCGAAGAGCAAGCGCGGGATCCCATGTTTTCCTCTTTGCTGTCGGGGATGACTCTCAGGGCCGGTAACTCACGCTTGAGTGTCAACACACCTTAGGGTCCAACCTGGAGCTTCCGCTGATCTTCTCCTCTGGCAGGTTCAGAGTCATCCGCAGTGACCTCCGCCAACAGCAGAGACCCAAACTCAAGCTCGTGGCGATCCTGCAGCGTTTTGGCGAGAGCTCGACGCCGACTGCGGGCTCGTCAACCGCACAGCCCGTAAGAGACGGTCACACCGGCATCCATCCCCAGAGCATTTGCAACAGCAAGGGTCGTGCCCTACCACAGACTCACATCCATGAAAGAGCAGGAGAAGGAAGCTCAAGAAAAGGAGGATGGAGGGAAGAAGCGGGCCGGCAGAGGAGCTAGAGGAAGGGTATAGGAGGAGAAAGAGGAGGACAATAAATCACCCGTCCACAGAACGGATCGATCACGGTGGAAACATTCCCAAGGTTGCGCAAGAACGCAAGGCAGAGCACACAGGCATCCAACCCGATGGCCCTTGGCCAGATCATTTCGCCACGGTAGAAGACGTCTGCCAAGGCAGGCTCAGAAACCTACTGACGCCGGACCGAGACCTGGCGCAGGAAAGCGATCTCTCTTGTACGTCGCTCCGTTGCTGAAGCAGACGATATGCGACAAGGTTGGTCTTCCTAGTGCACACGGAAGATGAGAAGGAGCGAGAGGAGGAGGGGACGGGGGCTGACCGACAGATCTCGTCCCCGGAGAGCAGGTCAGCGCATACTTGTGCCACAGCTGCTTGCAGCTCGTCCTGCAGCGACCGTCACATCTCTGCTTCCTTGCAACCTCCTCCCTTTGCTAGTTCAGATGCAGGGAACCTCTTGGATGCCTCGTAGCACAGCGCAGCCTTGTCTATCCAATCTTCCACCTGCCCCTCCTTTGTGCACACCCTGACGTCCGACTGATAAAAGATTGCAAACTGGCCTGCTGGGATTCTGGTGAAGCCGTGGAAGGGTCACAGGGAAGTTCAGGACGAGGGAAAGGCAGCAACCTGTTCAGAATCATCGCTGCTGTGTCAACAAACCATCCCTTGTATCTCTCCAGTTTCTCCCCTTCGCTGGAAGACATGCTCACAATCGCATGCGCTCGTGCTCGCGACTGCAGCACACACCTCACTTGCGGAAACTGTAGCTCACTGATGTCTGGCAACGACGTCAGGACCGACCCAACAAACATGCCGCCTGCCACGATCGAGCATGTCAGCGAAGAAAGTCAGATCATCAGCAAGGCAGATAGATCTCAGAAGACGATAATATGTTGCAAACAAACATGTTGCAAACCTTTCAATCCTTCATTCTCCGACTGCATCATCCACTCCAGAGCATCCATACAGACCACCGTGCGTTTGCTGCTACCTTCCGCCACGTCCCATCCCTTTTCCGTGGTGCTTCCGCTCTGTCGTGAGAGCTTACACAACACTACTGAAATCAAAATATTCGCAACCTGCAGGCTCCTTGAAGAAGATCGTCATCAAAAGGTTGCTGATGAGAGCAATCTGCAATCTACCTGGAAGACAGCGGAGTCTTGGTCCTTGAGCACCTCAGCAATCCCATTGTTGGCGGAGCATACCGGTTCGTACACATGATCGCACAGGTTTTGAGCATGGAGAAAGCCATGCAGGTGGCCATGGCAAGATTCTCACAAGGCTGCCGTCATCATCTCCTGCGTCAAGAACTTGATCACGAAGTCGAAGAGCTGTCGCTTTCTCCCTTCGCTCGGCTCCAAGCAAAGGCATGCTCCCCCACCAAATCTCCTGAGCAGGGCCTTCATCTCGGTACAATACATCTCTCTCCCCTCCCTCCCCCCCTCCCTCCATCCCTATCTTCTTCCCCCCTCCCTCTTCAGCTAACGTTTGCTCTCCTCGTCTCCTCCACTTCTTGTCCGATGAGTCCCCTCAAGCTCTTCCGTGCGGTAGCGATCAGGCAACCCGCCTCAGCCACCATGCCCTCGGATGAAATCCGACCGGACGAGCATCGCCGACTTCCGGATCATTCATGTTCCAGAGCGGCAGAAGAGTAAGGAAACAGAAACATTGAATAGAGAAACAGAAACAAAATCACACAGGTTTCTTTCCGAACAATACAAACTACTAGCATAAAGGTCGGTCAATCGCCGCGGTGGCATGGCATCAGAGTCACGTGACAAGTGTAGCTTCCGGATCAGCAAGTAAACAACAAGGTCGTCAATTGGGCGGCATGCTTCCAAGCAGGGGCATGTGCCCCGGCATTCTCATCTCGAAGGATCTCTGGACCTCCTTTCTAAAACTCATCAGCACCTGCAGATCCTTTTTCATCATCTGCATCTCGTTCTTGATCGTGGTAAGATCCTGGCTGATTCTTCGGAATTCCTTCTCAACGTTTGATCCTCCTATCTTCATCATGGGGCTGTTTTCATTCAACTGCTCAATAGCTCTGACGGGAGACTGATTGAAGCATTGCACGCACTGCTTCTTCTTCATGCGAGACAGCCATTCCCTTGAGTAATTGAATTTGGGACCTTCATGGACCCCCAAGCGATTTCCAATTCTCCTCGCCTCCTCCAGGATAACACCGTCCGTGAGGGTAATGTCTTGCGCTTGCCGCTCTCTCACCCATTCACCAACCTCTTTTTCCAATGCCTCAAACAAGCCGTCGCGCTGTTTCTTCTTGTCCAGATTGTAAGCCGAGATCTCGTCCTCGGCCTTTCGCAGCCATGTTTCACTCAGCTTCAGCACCTTAGATAAGCAAGCATCCGAAGGAGTCTTGTCCAGCTTGAATTGCACCTTACACCATGCCGCCAGCTCTACCAGCGTCATCTTGGGATTGTTACCTTTGTGCCTGCATATCTCTGCCTTCTGTCGGAGTGACAGCTGCATGCGCGGGCCATGATCCTTGGGACCAGAAGATTTGTGTGAAGCTCCACCCCTTGGTTTTCGCGTCTCTTGCACAGAAGAGTCAACAAGCACTCCGGAGACCGGCATCGTGTCTTCATTGCCCCCGTCCATGGAGCTGGACGCTGGGATGAGCACTTGAAAGTCTTTCAGTTGATTGCTTCCAGGGTTCGACATATTTACCAGAGGAGCGATATGGCACGACCAAGGAAATTTGAATGATCACAGGAAAGCTGGAATATGATAGATACCGTGAAGGCAGAAACGTTCTCCAGGGCAAGGGACCCAGATGATGAGGGGATGAGAGAGCGAGAAATGGAAGGAGGGAGGGGACCGAGTTTGAGAGGAAGAGAGACAGAGAGGGAGGGAGGAAGCGATCACGAGATCTGCTACAAGTTGACTTCACTTCGCAAACGCTGCATGCAGTTGGCTCTCCTTGCGGTTCATACCTCCATGGCAGGGGCTGAAGTCAATCCTCGGCCAGGTTTCAGGGGCCAACTCAATCGAGGGAACAATCATTTCATTTATATTTCAAATTAAAAACAATAATATTGAAACACTGATGAAATTTGTCCTTTTCCGTTATAGTCAATTTCGTGGGGACATTCGATCACCCCTGCTAATTGTACTCAAATCAGGTCAAATTAGGGGGTTGGGGTGGTCGCCTCAGTTTGAGCCCTTTCATTGACTATAAGGATTTTAAATTGACTATAAGACCAAGACAGCCCCGGCCGGGCCTGGGCGAGTACTTCGGAAGGGCCAGGATTCACGTACTGAGGCCTGAACTATAAACTCAAAATCAAATTTTACTTTCATTTTTCAAACAATGATATTGAATTTTCACGACAGAAACCGAAAAGGATATCCGCATACGGGGGGTTGGGGGGGTGAATGGCGGGAAATTCCGTCGCACATGGCGAACGAGGGGCACGATAAGAACGAGTACATGGCACATGGGGAGGAACATAAACCAATGAGGGCAGCAGAACTCTTGTGTGCTGTTGTGTTGAGCAGGAGATGAAGATTCTGTGATGATGATGAAGAGGAGCTGAATGGGAAGAACCAGGATAAGGGGATTGTTGACCTAGGACGAGGAAGTAGTTGAGAACAAGGAGGTTCTGTTTTGTGGCAGAGAGCAAACGAGGAGGGGATTTGACTGTCACGATAGGAAAGGAGTCGCCTTCTCCACTTACATCGCACACTGCCGAATCATGGGGCGGAGGATAGGTAAAATGGCAACAACCCGCTAGTACACGTGGGCCGGTCGACGACAGATGGACTCTGGCCTGCAGACTGTGTTTGTGATAGATTCCGATTGCTTTCAAGAGAGAACTTTGAGCGAGAAGTAAGGGCAGACTTCGCTGCTGTTTCCTCTGTTATGCATCTGGATTGATTGCGTGACCTTGTTAGGTCTATTGTGCTCTCCCTCCTTCGGATCCTGCGATATTACAGAACCCATGGAAATCACGTTAGGTGAGAGCTCTGATTCTTCCTTTATGTTACAATCTCAATCGAGACATGCTGCGTTTCTCCCGGTCAAGGATCGTCTTCGTTCATGACCAGGTTTCTGTCAGGTGGGGCTACTCCTTGTTCTCGTCGACAAGACACTGTTCGCCAAGCGAGTTCCTTCCCGGGCGGAAGCCGCAGAAGCTTAACCTTGACTCGACTGAAGTCGCGAGCGTAAAAGCACAGATCGAGGATGCGCTCAAGTCTGTCAAGAGATGCTATGAGGACACATCAGTGGCTCTCAACACGTCGGCCCACTCGAGCGACAGTTTGCGGGAGGTTTTCACTACGTTGAAGGTAGTCCTCGGCGATTTCGAGTGGAGCTCGTCTGTGGAGAACAAGAATGACAGGTATCGCGTTATTGCAGTCGGCAGAGTATCACTGTTTTGCGCAGGAGGTACAAGTTTTCCAACAAACAAGAAGCTGTGCTATCGCAACAACCGATCCGCTCCAAGGCGAATAAGCTGCACAACGTGTTCTTGTTCACGACACGCCGATTCTCTCATTCGGAATCGGAGATGGAAAGTCTGCTGAATGACCTGAACTCTTCTGCCGTCAGGAAAGCATACAGGTCCAAGAACATTGCGTTGCATTGGGTAGATACGTGTTACGGTCGTGAGGCTGAATCTCGGAAATGCGATGCTATCTGCAGTTTCTTGCGCTATACAGGTGGGGCAACATACCATATTGGCCAACTCTTGCAATCTTCGAGAGTTCTACCCTTCGATCTTGTCTTCGAATCTCTCTGTGATGGCAAGATTCAACAAGACTGCTCCCAGTCCAGTACAACACTGATCTACAACGGTCTGGCCGATGATGTCAAGCGCATTGTTGATGGAGGGATCATGGTGGACATCAAGGAGGGTTTCGGGACTGCGAGCTCCGATGGTTCAGCAGAGAGCAGTCATGATGAGTCTTCATCGCCGGCCCTGACTTTGAACCGATTTTTTGGGCGCTCGGTGGAATGTAGACTGGTGGTGGAAAAGGCGATCGATCGCTTGAAGTTTCCGTACGAGCTTCTGGAGAGCGAAATGTACATAGTCAGAGAATGTAACACTACACTTGATCCGGCTTCGTCAAATTCTGAACCTAGCCATATGAATTCCAAGTTCTTGCAGGTATGCCGGCAGATTTTCTCATCGGCGGGTTGACAGCTTGTTCCAGCTGATGGTCAACTTGCAAATAACGAATAGAATCTTGCTTGCACAGCTCTTCAGCGGCACTGAAACGATGCACTGTTTGCTGTACCCGATCAAGATGAATCTTGGTGGGTTTCAGCAAGTCAACATGAAAGATCCGACGGTAGCTTACACCATCTATACTTTTGTGAGCGATGAACCTTAGTCCAGATTCTCGATCAATTCACAGAAGATTGTGTGACTGTTGGCAACGCTCTTCAACGAAATACAAGTGAGCAAGCTGTTTTTAAGTTCGACCTCCTAGTTTCCCTTTTGTTTCGATTTTGTGTCTTGTTTTTCGTCAATCGAATGGTTGACATCCGGTTGCAGCGGCGACTTTGAACGAACAAGTCAACACTGTCTTTCGTCTCAATCAGGCAGAATTTCTAGAATACCAGAGCTGCCGGTGAAGCGAGATGAGATTTAAGGCCGTCGCTGACCCAGCTTGCCTATTGCCATCCAGTGCTGCTGAAGATAGTCGAAGGCAACGAATCGAAATGTTGAAAGAGAAAGTTTCCAAGTCTCCAATGAAAGAACATGGAAACACAGGTCACAGGCTGACATATATTCAAGGCCAGTGCTTACTCAATCATGCAGGGACTGTACAGATTGCACAACAAAAGGAGGATATGAGTGCTGAAATGATCTTCGACGAACTGGACAAAGTCTTTAAGATGCAAGTTGAAGATTTTAGCAGCCGGAAGCCAAACTGCCTCCTTCGAGAGGTGCCTCATTAATTTCCGTTCAACTTACCTTGCGTTTTGTCCTCTACTTACACTTTCCTTCCATCCTCCTGCCTCCTTGTTCTTCCTGAAATGTTGGAAACGCGCCTGAAATGCAATTTCCAGATCCTTCCAAGCGCTATCGAGCAGTTAGTCAAGAGCTCCTTGACAGACATCGAGGCAAAGACGCAAGTCTTGAAGCACGTCTGCACCAAGTGGATCGTGAAACCGAAGGAATGGAACACCCTCAAGGTTGCAAACAATCAGGAGGCAGAGAAGAGAAGGTTCGAACTGCAGGCCCTTCTTCGCCTAGAGGTCCCTCTCTTGCGCGCTGGCCTTGGGGAGGCTGCAGAGTTCGATCCCATCCCAGACTCACAGCTAGACAACGTCAAGGCCCTGATGAGCAAGATCTTTGTACATATGAACGATGAGATGCGACGTAGATACTGCCGAGAGGTTTCCTCGCAAACTCTCTTCCTCTGTTTCTAATAGGCTCCCTCCAGGTTCTCTGCGAACTGTTCGGTCAGTCTCTGCCCATCACCTTGGAGAAGCTCTGTAGCTCGTTTGACATCGAGTTGTCCAGTCTGACGGCCGGAGAGGGTACGAATGGTGTCCAAGCTGAACCCGCTGCCCTGACTGCATCTGAGACGCTGACTCTTGGGGAACAAGCAGAGGAAATAGACTGTTCTAAAATCGTCCGTGGGTTGAACAGCAGACATCCTGTTTCATCGAGCGATGGAAGGAAGCAGCAACTTAGCGTCAGGTTGGGTTCTAAACAGTTCAAAGCGAAGACGATAAAACCATCCAAGAGCAATGTCTTGGAACCGAGCAACGTGCGGGACAGCAGCAGGTTGACGAGGAGGAGCAACAGTGTCTCGGCCGCTACCTCGCTAGACTCGACAAGCTCACTGCTCGAGCAGCCTCGGAGGGTGAGTGTCAGTCTCGTTGAGAGGTATGCTCGGGAAGAGGACGGGGCTCAGCCCAAGATTCTCGACATGGTGACACAGCAATCCTCGCATGCTGCCGTTCAGGCGAAGGATAACTGTAAGAGCCCCATTGCCCCCGCAGCTTCTCGCGTGCTCGTTCCGGAAACTCCTTGCAAGAAGGAAACATTCAGCAGCCCTCAAGCTGTCCGAATGCCGCAACCTCCAGCAAGCGAGGCGACTCCCAAGCAAGACAAGAAGTGTGACGAGTCCTCTGTGCGCGTCCTAGTCCCCGAGACCCCCGTTACCAAGCAGTGCCAATATCGCAAGACTTTGACGTCAGGGAAGAAGCCAGTCAGCATCGCCAGCCTGGTGAGTGCTCCTTCTCTTCCATGCGACCTGTGATCATCTCCTCAGATGCAAATTGAGGAGAATGCGGGTGAGCCTGACTCTGGCTGTTCCTCAAGCTTGTCCCGCCCAACCCCTGACGCTTCTGCTGCTGCTGATCCGCAGCTCGATCAGCTCAACCCCAGAATCATTGACTTTGCCGAGAAGAGCGATGAGGTTGTCGAGAACAAGAAGGGTGAGCAGGAAGAAACATGCAAGACGTCGAAGCGACCAGGCGGCGAGGGAGGCCGACGCAAGAGCAAGCGAACCAAGTGCAACCCTGCTAACATCTCAGAGGATTCGATCAACGTGAATGATCTCGTTCTTGTTGCCTCTGAAAAAGTCTTGAGCAGACCCTCCAAGAGGGGTGCGAAGGCCGTGGCCTACTCCAAACACTCTCTCGCCAGGTGGCTCGGCCCCTTCCGTGTCCTCTCTGTGTCTCCCCAAGCTCAGAAGGTGGAGCTGGAACTGCCTGAGCTACTCCCCTTGTCGAGCAGCTGGGCCCCGCTGTCTGCCCTCGTCAAGTTTGACGCGGGAGTGTCGTTGAGGAACAGGCTGCAGGAGGGAGCAGCCAGGCAGGTGCTGGACAAGAAGAAGCAGAAACAGCGGGCTTGCGAGAGCTACCTGGTGCTGCGAGGAGAGGACGTGAAGACAGGATGCAGGTGGACAACGAGGGAGGAGCTCGAAGAAGAAGCCCCGAGGTTGCTTTTAATGTTCGAAAGAAGGCAAGAAAAGTTGTAATTACAGACAGATCAAACAAGGCGAAGCATCAGGGCTATCTACTAGAAGTTTGGTGGTGGGTTCAGTTGTGCACAATAGTGACGACGGAGATGGTTATCGGCGAGCGCTCAGTATCGAGTCATAATGTGCCTCATTGCCATATGAAGTCTGCATCGTCGAATTCAACCTCGCCAGGCTGCTCGTCCGCAAAGAACTGAGCATCGTCGAAAACGCACACGATCGGATCGTTGCTCTTGAGCTTCTTGCTCTGGTTGAACAGATCTTCATCCCTGTTCTCCTCCACCTGTAGGCGCTTGTTGCCAGCAGCAGGAATGTCTTCGGACGAGCTCTCCAAGCTCGAGTTGAGCTTATCATACTCCATCCACAGGAAGCGCCGGGCCTCCCGCCATTCCGCTGCCGTCACGGCTCGCCCCTTGTTCGCTCGCTGGAAGCAGTTCCAGGTGTCGTTGACTCCCCTCAGGAGCTCCAACGGATCTTTCGGCCATGGTTGGATCACACATTTCATGCTCTCACCGGTCATGCTGTTCTTGCGAACCATTGGATCGGCACCTTCAGTTCAAGGAGACGAGGAAGGGAGGGATTTGAAGCGACCAGCTCAATCTTGGGAGTGTGCCAACGGTACCAACCAACTACGTCGAGAGAGCCTCAAGATAATCCGCGTCTTCCCTGCAGAAGCGACGTCAGAGCAGACCATGGGGCACGTCACGAGAAGCGTTGGGGACGACATCAATGCGCACGAGCGCTTTCTCCGTCCCTCCTGTCCATTTACCCCCTTGCCTTGAGGGCAATCACACGCCTTGGGCAATCTTTTCACTTCCAGCCATCACTATCAGCCACCATCCAGCACCGTATATCTATCGCCTGCTCCTCTCACCACTTCGAATGGTCTCTTAGGATCTGACGCCACCTCAGCACCCTTCCCACTTCTTCTCTTCTCTACCTGCTCTTCCAAGCTCCCATCTTCTCTGCTAGTCTCATCTGTCCCATCCCAACCTATCGTCTAGCCACCTTTCCTCACCTGATCTGGCGCGATCTAACTTTCAATCACCCGATCTAGCCCCTCCTCTCGCTTTTTTCTTTCAATCTCGTCTGATCTGATCCCAAAACCCATCACATCATACAATAAAGGTCAGATTACGCCACGTGGCCTCTCCTCTCCTCTCCTCTCCTCTCCTCTCCTCTCCTCTCTCTTCTCCTTTTGTCTTTCCTCTGCCCCGCCATCTCTTGTTTTGTGAGAAATTTCCTTCATTTCCTCTTCCGATCTCCATGTTTGAAAAAATAATTTCTTTTTTCCTTCAAAAAAGAAATTTCTTCGCTCATTTATTGGAGGTGGGGGTAGAAAAAGTACCCACCATTTCAACTACATATTTACTTTTTTTATGGGGGTGATAGTACTGATTGGTGTTTTGATGGTAGGGTAGTGTGTCGGATTCCAGGAGATTCAGATTATAAAAACACATTTGGCTCGAAAAAATGCAAAAATGCATCGCTCAAGGGTATATCCACAAAAATGATATTTAAGAATTTAAAAACTCGCCTTTTTGATTTTAAAAGGTTTTCCCTGTCCCCCCAGGGCAGCTTAGAGTCACCTCTCCAAGAAGTCCGCCTCAGATAGAACTTATCAGAAGCGCCCGGATCTATCATCACGGATATCACTGAGACCCGGCCCGGCGGCCCGGCGGCCTCCGGGTTACAGTTTTAGTTAACTTTGAGTGGACTGTTGTGCCCGATGGCAACAGAGCCAGGGGAGTCGCGAGAGATCATGGGCAGGAGCATGAGCAGGAGACGAGGAGGAGGTAGCAGATGCTTCATCCGAGACCAGCGACTGACTGCAGCTGCTGTCTTTGGTTGCTTCTCTCGTTCTCTCTACCAGGACTGAAATTGGCTCCATCCGCCGCAACCTTGCATCGGCAGGAAATCGTTTGCTGCTGAAGCAGGCTCTCGCTCGCAATGATCATTTCTTGCCTTGCTCTCGGAAGCAGAGGTGATGTCGAGCCACTGCTGGCTCTGGCGGAGGGACTGCTTCTCAAGGAAAGTCTCCAGGACTTGAGCGTCAGGATTGCTTGCAGGAACGAAATCTGGAACGACCTTGCAAGCTGCTCCCCTCCCCTGCCGCAAGTGTCTCACTTCCCCATCAGAAGCTGCTCGGTCGACATGGCGGTTGCGCTGCATGCAGAAAGACGAAGTCAAGAGCCTCCCAGCAAGGCGGTGGGCAGGGAGGATGTGAAGCGATTCGAAGAGGAGGAACGAGCGGAACTGCTTCAGGCCTGTCACGGGGCAGACGTGATTGTCTGCAATCTCTTCACATTGGAAGGATTTCACATCAGTGAGAAGATGCGCATCCCTTGTGTCATTGTCTCCCCGTGCCTGCCACCGAATCGAATGCCTGCCACGTTCGAGCGGCAGTTCATGGATGAATTCCCCCTCCTGTACAGGAAGCTCAAGGCGTCTGCGAGAGGCTTGGAGGATGAGGATGCGCTTTCACGGCCCGTCTGCTGGTCGGACGTGACCGCATGGATGTGGAGGGTGTTTCTCGATGACCATGGCACATGGCGCGAACAATGCCTTGGGTTGCCGGCAATTCCGCTAGACAAGTTCGAGGAGGAGGGAGGAGAGCCGCTGCCGCAAGCTCCGCTCCTCCTGCTCACTGTCTCCCAGCGGCTGCTAGCTCTTGACGAGAGTGATCAGTTCCTTGCATGGAAGTCTTGCGCTCGATTTGTGGGGAATCAAGTGAGGGAAAGTTCAAAGTCCGTGGAGCTTGACAAGGAGCTGATGTCATTCCTGTCTTCAAGTCATTCATTGCAAGCGGGTGACAGGGTAGAGACGTCCGCCCCCTCAAGGACGGTGTGCGTGTGCTTCGGTTCCATGCCGAGCCTGGGGTTTCTTGAGAGTGCTGAAGAAAAAGATGTCGACAGTGCAGAAGCGTTTCTTGTCACGATCATGAGAGGCCTCAAGAGTTTGAATCTCAGATGCGTCTGGATGCTTCAAGGGTTCCATCCGACCATCAAGAGTAAGGTAAGCTACATCCCTTCCTGCTTTACACTGAAGTTGCCATGTGTGTGGCAGCTTGAACGAGCGGCAGGAGCTTGTGTTCACCACCACTTCTTCACTTTTGTTGCTCATCCCCATGCTCTCATCTTGCCACACTGTTTCGCCATGATTCATCACGGGGGTGCTGGATCAGTTGCGGCTGCCATTCGGCATGGCTGTATGCACGTGAGGGACTGGCTGTTCGCTTCCTCTCCTCACACTTCTGCAGATTGTCTTCCCCCTGACTTTCGACCAAATATACTGGGCAGTATTACTGGAAAGAGCAGGACTAGCGTGCAGAGCTCAACCGTGGCGTAGCGTTACTGATGAAAGCATAAAGTCTTCCTTGCAGTTTGCGATGGATCATTACGACATTCGTCTCGCCATGAAAGGAGGCCAAAGTTGACTCGTTCTTAGTACGCTGTCTGACTGACTTCGTTGTTGTTAGCTGATGAGAAGGATTCTCCGCTTCTGCAATGGAAGATGGTGATAACTGACGATGCAAGGCTGCATTCTAAAACAGTCCGAAGGAGCTGCAGAAGGAAGAGGAATGTGGCCGAGAAAAGAGCACTGAATGGATGGAGCGAGTTTGTCGTCAAGTAGCAGCATCCAGCGAGTGAAGAAATCGGAGTACACGGCACCTGAAACCGTCAACAAAAACAATCCAGGAAAAAGGGAGGTACCAGTACCCGAGGTAAGACAACGGACAGAACGTTCTTGTTTTATTTTACAGCAGATTGAATAGCTACAGGTGTTGGTATGAGTCGGTGACATTTGTGCATGTGGATGGACGTTCAGCTCGATGGAAGAGGCGAGAGAAGAGCGTTCGATCGTCAACTCTGCCACCAAGATGCAACCAACCATCAGCATGTCTGTAACAATCATTCGACACACAGTCTGACAAACATAAGTTCTTTCATCATGGTCTCAATGACTGCTGCAGCAGAATCGCTGGAATCACATCAAGATCACATCGAGGTTTTAAAAAAGTCCAGCTAAAGACCTTGCCATTGACATTTAAAGACCTGTTCCCACTTGCTCCCTTTCTCACTTAATACCTCCTCATAGTCTGAGTCTGCAACCCCCCTCGATCACTCCTTGTCTATTGTGACATCGTCTCCTGCTCTACTCTGCATGCTCCTCCCATCCCCCGTTGCTCCTTCCTCTCGTTGTTTCATTCCTGTAACACCGGCGACCTTCCTGTCTTATCTCCATATCCTTTTCTCAAAAAGAAACACCTTACCACCCCTACCTCTCCCGGAATTTCACCGGTCATTGTACTTCCTCGACCGTTGTTAGGCCCCATGGCTGCAGGTAGCAGCATGCCAGCCTTCAAGGCATGCTTCTACACCCCTCCTACCTCCTCCTCCTCTTCCTCCTCTTCCTCCTCCTCCCTCCCTCCTTCCTGCCTGTCGGCCACCTAAACTTCTACCACGACGTTGACCGGTATCTCCTTGACAGCTGCAACCAGAGCAGCAACAGCACAGGTCACAGTCAAACAGCCTCCCCTGCTCTCTTGCCCCCCAATCACCAGCTCGTTCTTGGTCTTGCCAGCATGTCTGACTGAGTCTACGGCGATAAATCCTTCCTGCCGCTTCTCCTCTTGTCTCTGCGATGAACTCTCGTACCTCGGCCTCGCTCCTCCTCTTGCTGATGGTGCCGTCTGCAAGGGCCGATGGATGGTGCCAGGGGAACAAGGCCACCATGAGCTGCTGCAATCCAGCCAACGGGGGAGAAGCAGGGGTCTACTTCCTCCCTATCTTCCCCATGGAGTATGAGTGGGACCGAGGGTTTCGCGCCTTCTTGTACCTGGTGGGTCTGCTGTGGAGCTTTTTGGGTGTTTCTGTGCTCAGCGATGTGTTCATGACCGGCATCGAGAGGGTGACGAACTCGACGAGGAAGGTGAGACGGCCGAAGCTCGACTCCAACGGCAGAGCGATCCTGGTGGACGGTCAAGAGCAGTACGAGGAGGTGCAAGTCTTGATTTGGAACCCAGCGGTAGCCAACCTCACGCTCATGGCCCTGGGGTCGTCGACCCCGGAGATCCTCCTCTCAGTCATTGAGATCTGCTTCTCAGGCTTCTACTCGGGCGAGTTGGGGCCAGGGACGGTCGTTGGGTCGGCCGCGTTCAACCTGTTTGTGATAACTGCACTCTGCATGCTCTCGATCCCTAAGTCGGAGACGAGGAAGATAGACGGGTTCCTCTCCTTCTGCATCACCACCGTCTTCTCAGTCTTCGCCTACCTGTGGGTTTACATCTCTGTGATGGACAACGTGGTGACAGTGGCGGAAGCTGTCATCACCTTCTGCATGTTCCCACTGCTGACGTTGATGGTGTACATGGCGGACAACGGGCTCTACTCGAAGATGTTCTACACCATAGCAAGAATCCGACCGGACGAGCTCGACGATGAGACCCCGCCGCCTGCACCCATGACATCTACCCCACTAGAGTCCTTCCGCTCCTTCTCGGCGCTTCAGACCAGTCGCTCGATCATCGAGGACGGAGGGAAACTCTTCCTGCGGCAGAACCAGTCTCGCGTCAAGTATCGTCACCTTGCTCTTCAGAGCCTCATGGGAGGCAAGAAGATCACGCCCGAAGACCTGCAGGCCCCGGAGCTCTACATAGAGAAGAACCTGATGGAGGCAGAGGCCGAGTCGCTTCTCCCTGTGATCCAGTTTGAGAGCCCGAACTTCTCTTTCCTCGAGACTGTCGGGATTGCCAAACTGGTTGTGACGCGTCAGGGGAACTTGTCGGTGGAGGCAGATGTTGAGTACCAAACCAGAGATGGCACAGCAAAGAACTCGGTGCACTACGAGCAAACCAGCGGCGTCCTCCACTTCGATCCCTTCGAGACTGAGCAGACCATCTTGATTCGTATCCTGCATGACTTGGAATGGAACGAAGATTTGGAGTTCACGACGGAGCTTTCGGTCGTGGATTCTCAGCTCGTGAAACTTGGGGGGATGTATCAGGCCGTCGTGACCATCATCGACATGGACGGGCCGGGGGTCTTCGAGTGGGTGGAGAAGGAGCCTCAGTTCTTTCTCAGCTCGGACAGCGCGGCATACCTCCAGCTGCAGAGGATGAAGGGATGCACTGGCGATGTCAAGATCAGGGTGAGGACAGTCGACGACAGCGCGCAGGTCAAGTTGCTGGCTGGTCGTATCATCTGCTCACGCGGTATCCCTTGCAGGCAGGACAGCACTTCGTCGGCATGGATGAGTTGGTGTCCTTCAAGGACTGTCAGGCCTCCAAGACTGTCAAGGTGTCTGACTTACTCCTTCCTCCTTTCAAGCGCTCTGACATCTCCTCAGATTCGCCTCCAGAACTTTGACAAGCCTGAGGACGCGGGGGAAGACTACATGGTAGGCTGTGCTGCCGGTGGCCGTGGCTGACCTTGTTGTGCAGGTTCGATTTTTTGTTAAGATACAAGACATGGACGACGGTTCAGGCATTGTGATCAGCGAGTACGACACGATAGAAGTGCGAGTTGAGCACAGGGAGCAAGCCGACGAGGACGAGGAGATCACCTGGACGCAGCAGTTCAAGCAGGCGCTGAGTGTCAACGGAGGTCAAGACATGGCTGACGCCAGCGCTACTGGGCTTGTGCTGCACTACATCTCCATCACCTGGAAGCTCGTCGCTGCCTTCATCCCTCCTCCGTCCATCTGGGACGGCTGGGCGACCTTTTGCGTCGCCCTGGGGATGATCGGGGTGGTGACCACACTGATCAACGACCTTGCCTCCATCTTCGGCTGCATCATCGGGCTCGAGGACCCCGTCACTGCCATCACCATCGTCGCTCTCGGCACCTCCCTCCCCGACACGTTCGCCTCCGTCCTCTCCATCCGGGCGGATGACAACGCTGACAACGCCGTCGGGAACGTGACGGGCAGCAACTCCATCAACGTCTTCCTCGGTCTTGGGCTGCCCTGGACGATTGCGGCGATTTACTGGCACTACACACCTCCGACTGCGAGGTTGGGAGAGGAAGAGCTGAGGGAAACCTGCTGCGAAGATGGCGTGGAAGAGGCAAAGGAGATGAGGGGAAGAGGGAGGGAGAGAGAGAGGGAGCGAACATACAAGATAAGGCGGGAGCGAGGGAAATGGCGGAGGAGGGAGTTGAAGAGAACATGATTGATTTCGAGTTTCAGGTGGTTGGAAACTTATCAAGGGACACCCGGCAACCGTCCAAGAATGTATCCAAGCGTGCAGAACAACAATGCTTTCCTGCCGGAGAACGGGGGCAACGGCGGGTTTGTGGTAGCAGGAGGGAACTTGGGGTTCAACACTATCTACTTCACGATCCTCACCGTCATAGCCATCTCCACTTTGCTGCTCAGGCGCTTCGTCTATGGACACGAACTTGGAGGAGAAGGAATGATTAACAAAGTTTCGGTAAGCGAGGAGGATACAAAGATGTCGCCTCATGGTCGGTGCAGGCTGCTCTGTTCCTGCTGTTGTGGTTCGCCTATATCATAGTCGCAAGCTTACAGGTCAGCCTCCATCTGCTGTTCGCTCACACTCACAAGAAGCAGACTTACTATCCAAGCTCCTTCCCCGCCTTCTAGCTAACGCTGTTAATTTCCAAGCCCTCGACTTTTCACGATTTTTTTCCGTCTTGTTATACATTGATTCTCAACCATTTACTTCAAGGAATTCAAATCAAGTCGCACTTCTCGATGAACAGCCCACAACAGCTGCACTGTGTTAAGCCCTATGATCTGCTTCTCCCGATACTAAGCTTGCGAAAGTAGCGAGTCATACCAGCACATATTCCAATAACACCTAGACTCCATACTGCTTCAAGAACGCAAGTTTGCTGGTCTGATTCGCGTGATCATATTTCTTCATGCACAAGCTGGCGTCGGACTGGTTTGGACCGAGCGAGCTTCTGAACAACTTCACAGCACATGCCTCCAAAATCCTACCAGATCAAATCAGAGATGAAAACGTTTTCTACAACTCTCTCGACTTAAATTTCTCCCGCATGACAGATCTAAGCACACAGCTTGAAGGGAATGCTAAAATCTACTTTGTTCTCAATCTTGCTTCCACAAAATCACCGAGAAAAGTACTCTGTTGCATCGAGTATCCGCTAGGCACAACTCTATGACGCGCATGGAAATGCAGTGGATCTATTGTTTTCCTGCTAGCCCAGAGACTTTCCTGCAGCGATTCTGACCTAGAGAAACATGTTCGCTATCTTGACCTTCTCATACCGACCAAGCATAAACCAACAAACATCAGAGGAGACGAGGCAAGGTACTCCTTCATTGCACCGTTCAGCCCTCAGTGCGTAGGCTCACTCTATCGTTCTACTTCTCTTCCACCTGTTAACTACAGTGGACATAGATTCTTCCTCTCCTCACCTTGTCGACATCTTGGTATGCTTCGGCATCGCGAACGGCGTTGGCGCCTGCTTTCCGTGCATGGTTGAATCGGCGCTCTCAAGAGTCATCCAACACTACCCCCTCTAAATCCCTCTGAATCACCCCTCCAATAGCATTACCCCCTACCCCTTCAATAATACTAAAAATAACCCCAGATTCCCCTTACACCACCCCACCCTATTTTAAACGATATCAAATACACCCGTAGGACAACATTTTGGGTACCCCATGAGGGATTCTATTGTACCCCTCTTTGAGATTAATTTAGAACCCGTAGCATAGTACCCCCACCCCTCTTCTTCTAGCTCAAGAAGAGAGAAAGGAGTTTTTAACTTAACTTTTGAGTAAAAGATGTAGAGGGCAGCAAGAAATGACGGGGAGGGGAGAAGGGGGGGGGGTAAGAAGAAGCAGAGGAAAGCAAGTAGCGATGCATAGAGGTAGATAGTGAAGACGAAGCGACAGTGAAGCGATGCCAGGCTGAAGGAGGAGGGAAAGTCATACAAGGCAAGGACTTGACGATCAACTTTATGTTTGTGACTCATTGTTCCACCCACTCTGAAATCCTTTGGTTGAAGGTGCAATAGTCAGTCAAAGTCGTAATTGAGAACAGCATAAGGATGTGCAGACTCGTTTCTTGCTGCCTTCTTCTTGTTTGCTTGCCACACGCCTTCCCATTTGCAGCAATCCCTTCTGTCAAGGTGCCTGAGACCTTCGGGGCCTTGAGAAAGTTTTTGGACTTGCAAAAGCATGATTCATCCAAGTTGCTGGCTGGCCTGAGGCAACATGTGAGCAGGAGAAGGCCAACAGCTCACAGTCTATCAAGGATGTCTGGTGGATCGAGCGGTGAGATAATTCGGCGGGAAGTGCTCACTGAATCTCGCTGGCAGAGACTAGCATGGGGATTCTTGTGTTCATTACGTGTGTTCCGGGAACCGAAGAGGCTTTCAAGGAAGCCTCCCTCAACAATGCCAAGAACAGTGTGCAAGAAGCTGGTATTGCTCGCTTCGACTGCATTCAGGTTTGGGATGCAAAGTAGCTTCGTGGGGGGCAACACTGACAGTAGCCTCCTGACAGAGCATCACCGATCCTACCAAGTTCGTGCTCGTGGAGGTGGCTCTAGTCTCGTCACCCCCTCGTGCGTTGACGGCTTCCTTGCGATCAGGTGTACAAGACGGGAGCGGACGGGCAGGCAAAACATCGGGAAACCGCACATTACTTGAAATGGAGGGACACCGTCGCCGACATGATGGCGGAGCCCAGGACGGCGGTCAAGTACAACACGATCTTTCCTGAATCCTTCAAAGGATGGGATGTGCCCCAGGAACTCAGCAGCGGGGGAGCAGGTGCGCTCTGGGGAGGAGGGAGGTGAGGTGCTGATCGGGGGGCAGAGGACGGAAAGGACAACCTACTGGCCGTACACGTCTCGGTGCAGTGCAAGCCCGGCACTGAGAATGACTTCATTCAAGCTTCCGTTGAGAACGCCAAGAACAGTGTGAGGGAGCCGGGCATCGCAAGGTTTGATGTCCTTCAGGTGAAGTAGCTCCCGATGAGCGTTCGTGTCTGCATCCGAACCCTCCGAGGCTGGACTCACACGTGGAGTAGAATCAGGAGGATGCGACCAAGTTCCTCCTCATCGAGGTCTACCGCAGTGAGGCTGCTACCCTCGAGCACAAGGAGACCGCGCACTACAAGGTGAGAAGCATGGCCTTGCTTGCTCGTGGGGTGAGACTGACCCTCTGGTTCCAAGAAATGGAGAGACACCGTCCAGGATATGATGGCGCAACCTCGATCGGCCTTGTGAGCTGCCTCCTATCTTCAATTCTTACTCTCCCTCCCTCTCCCTCCCTCCCTCCCTCTCCCTCCCTCTCCCTTCCTCCCTCTCTCTCCCTCCCTCTGCCTCTCTTCCTTCCTCCCCCAACACACAAATCCCCCTCTGTCCCTTCATTTTCCTTTCCCGTCTCCCTTTTGCCGTTGTTTAGACCTTGCCAACAGGAAATACACGTCTTGCTTCCCCTTTCTCGATCAGAACTGGAAGTATCCCCTCTGACTAGGTGATTCCTGTGCGGTAAACGCTCCTTGTGCTTGACCGGCGACTGCCTTGCAGGACGAAGCAAGCTCTAGAAACGACAGGACACGCGCGTGTGTAGATGCGAGTTACATTACAGTATCCTCTATCGCTTCTTCTGGTGATCTAATCCCTCGTCATGAAGTCGCCTCCGTTGTGCATGTCCCAGCCCTGCAGGTCCGTCATCAAACCCCTTCTCCATTCCCACCGCTGGCTCACATTGACAAAGGTGTCGGTGATGGGCTCGCCAGAACGATGAAGAGTCCGGGCCACCAACTGCCATTCAAAGCTCAACCCCCCCGCCAACAGACGCTCACTCCCGCTCTCCTCGGTACCCACCTCCTCCGGCAGCTCCTCGTCTTCAAGCTCCCCTTGGAAGCCGAACGGATCAGCCTTCCCGTTGAGAGATCCCCTGGCGATCTGACCCCTCACATCAGTCTACCCCTCCCTTGCGCCTCCTCCCCCCTCCCCCCACCTGCTTCGTCAACGGGTCGTCGCTCTTGGAGCACTTGCCTGGCCTGCAGTCTGGTGCCTTGCAAGCTGTGTGCCTCCGCTCGAGCACCTGCCACGCCCACGGCTCAGCCCTCCGACGCTCCTCCTCTTGTCCTCCTACCTCCTTCAACGGACATCGGCTGCACGTCCGCCTGCATCGCTCGACAAGCGGCGTGACCCTGGGAAACCCTTTCTTGCGGTCGTATCGAGCTTCCAGCACGCTTTTCGTCACCGTGTTCATCAGCTGCTTCTTCATCTGCCTCGTAGACGGGAACGAGTCCGAGGGATACCCGTACGAGTCCTGCATGTACTGTGCGGCGTCTCCCCACACCATCTTGAGCAGCTCAGGATCCAGCGGAGACTTGTGGTCCGACCCGTACTCCGAGTGCGCGAACTGCAGCAGCCGCTGGTCTTGCAGCCTGAGCACCAGCGTGCAGCCGTCAGGTTGCCGGGCCCGCCTCTCACACCCTCCCTGACTACCTCTCCTTGTCCGCCTCGGACAGTCGGGCGTCCTTGCTGTAGAGCGGGTCTGTCCTGTCTCGGTCCGCCTGGCCGAAGAACGCTCCTGCCTCCGAGAAAGGCGACGCGCTCCTCGGGTCCCTACATCCTGCTGTCAGCAGCGACCTCCCCGCCCCAGCCCCAGAGTCAAGGCATCGTACCTGGGAGATCTGAACCTGTCCCCAGTCCCGTCTTTGTGCTGCTGGTCGAAGCCCGAGATCCAGTTGTCTCCGAGGTCGGCTCCGTCGCTATGAGGGTAACGCTGCGGGACAGTGTTGTGCATGTTGGGCTCGATTCCGGATCTCCTGTCGCGCTCTTCTCGCTCATAGCTGTAGTCGCTTGACTCGCGAAGGTACTTCTCGTAATCCTCGATGTCTCGCGCAACCTGTTTCTTCCAGCGGTCGCACTCATCTGGATCAGGCTTGGTGGTACAAGCAGGGGGAGGGTTGTCGTAGGTAGGACGTTGTCTTGCAACATGATTGTGATCTTGATTCACGTGACCTTCATGTTGTTCATGACTGCCATGATGTTCGTTATTCCCATGACTCTCTTGTCCCTGATGATGTTCTGAATGATGCTCCTGATGACTGGTTGAATGTTCAGAAGCTCCTCCGCCGGCATTGAACAAGGCTGTGCTCCTGTGTCTCTGCCGCCCCTCTGCATCAGCTCTACTCCTCCCCCTTCCCTCCCCCTTACCTGCTTCAACCCTGCTCCAAAGGTCCCTCGCCTAATCTATCGTTC